GGGAGGAGTATGGGGGAGTGAACGGGCTCGGCGGCGTAGGAAACACGGAGGCAGCACGGCAAGGGCCGCCCAGGACGGAGGCAAGAAGAAAAGACCGGCGGAATAGGCGAAGAAGTGAGGTCGGTGGGTGGCCGTCTGCGAAAAAGAAAACAAATCTTTTGGTGTTGTGTTTTGGTTTGTTGTTGTTGTGTTGTTTTTTTTTTTTTTTTTTGTGTAAAATTGTGATCGGGGTTGATCCCTGAGATGAATAAATTATGGTTTGGTGTGCAAAGCTATATGGTATGAATGGAATTTGAAAAATATTAAAAATAATGTGAAAGAAAAATAAAGAAAGAAATAATAAAAATATATTTGAAACAAAATGAAAGATGGGGAAATAAAGAAAGTGGTTTGGAGAAAATAAATAAAAATAATGGATTTTGAAATCAAACGGAGGAGAGAGAGGGGACAAGCCCATGTGAGGAAAAGAGGGGTTTAAAGAAAGTGAGGGAGTGAGTTGATTAAAAAAAGGATTGTGGGTTTGAAAGTGGAAAGATGAGAGAGAGAGAGAGTGAATTTGTTTGCTTTAACAAGATGACAAACTTGGGCACAAGTCTCTGTGGCAGCATTGCGTTTTTCTGCCTCCCTCTGATACTGGGAAGCTACCCTTCTTGCTTCTGCAAAGAGAGTGTAGGTTTCAACTTGAACAGCGTATTCCATGTACTTCACAGAAGGGAAATTAGTGCGTGCAAACAGTTGTAGCAGCGCTACTCTCTTATCTCTGTTGTCACCTCTCTTGATCCTGTGTCCAATTCCTGGCACACGAATGCCCTTCTTTTTCATACTTTCCACAAACTCATAAGGTGTAAGTCCCCTGTCATAAGCGTCCTTGAAGTATCGGGCAGCATCATCAATAGCCCCACCAAATCGGGGACCAATTGTTAGCAAACCTGAAACAAGGCTGGACACCAAATCTTTTCCTGCCCTTGCAGTTACTATGGTGTTGTGAGCGCCAGATACACAGGGACCATGGTCCACACATAACATTATGCAAATCTCAATAAACTTTGTACAGTAACGAGGTTTATTAATTTTCCCCTGTTTAAGGGCTTCCACTAGGGAATACTCATCACGCCCACCAAGTTCCCCGAGTACAACTATCATTTTGATCTGCGGGATGTTGTTAAAACGCAGAACATGATCAGAAAGTGTAGAGCCCGGGAACACATCTCCTCCAATTGCAATACCTTCATAAATTCCATCGGTCACACGGGCAATCGTATTGTACATTTCATTAGACATGCCACCAGATTTAGAGACAAAACCAACAGATCCAGGCCTGTACAGCTTGCATTGAATGATATTATCAATTGTTCCGGTAGTGTCACCAATCTTAAAAGCACCAGCTTGAATGCCTCCAACAGTTGCTGGCCCAATAACAACCTTATTATTTGCCCTTGCATAAGCAATCAACTGCTTGGCGTCTGACTCAGGAACACCTTCAGCTATTATAGCCACAACTCTAATGGTGGGCTGTTTGAGAGCAGCCATAGAAGAAGCAGCAGCACTTCTGAATGATGCGAAGTTTATGAAAACATCAGCAGTAGGATGTGCTGCGGAAGCGGCATCGATGGCTGAATGTACCGGGATAGCAATTTCCTCCTGACCAAAAAAGAGTTTCTGAAAGCCCTCAAAACCAGGATTGATAATTCCAGCAACTGAAGGTGTTTCTCTTCCGCAAAGGAAGTCAAAATCGAGCATCCGTTGGATGGGTCCGGCGGGCGGCCAAGGTGAGGTTGCCGCCTGCCGGTGAAGCGAAAAATACTAAGTTCTTAACCTTGCTCTGATACCATGTTAAATTTGATGTATAGAGAAAGAGAGAATTGTATTATTGATTGATATATGTTGATATTTATTACAATGATTCATGATTCCTATATATAGAAGAGGGTGAGTGTGTAGTAGGTAAGGAGTAGGGGCACTCCTTACCACAGTTAAACTAGTGGCCAAGTAGAGGTATCTAATAGGGAGGTGAAACACATAATGGAGAAAACGAGGAGGCCAGATAGGAAAGATTGGTCAAAACATTTGATGCATTATGAGCCTATCGCATTGCTTATAAGACACCTATTGGGATGTCGCCATATAAGGTGGTGTTTGGCAAAGCTTGCCACCTCCCGGTTGAACTTGAGTACTTAGCGTTGTGGGCCATAAAGAAGTTTAACTTCGACATGGCCGCGACTAGGCTCAATTGGAAATTATAACTCAATGAGTTGGAGGAAATTCAAAATGATGCATATGAGAGTTTGAAAGTTTTTAAAGCTTGGACTAAGGAATTCTATGATAAGCACATTAATAGAAAATCTTTTGAACCCAGCCAAAAAGAATGGCTTTTTAACTCAAAATTAAGATGCTTTCCGGGTAAGCTTAGATCAAGATGGGATGGTCCCTTTATGATTGTAGAGGCATTTATTCATGGTGCCGTTGAGGTGCAAGATCCAAGAAATGGCCACACTTTTAAAGTGAATAGAGAAAGACTGAAGCCGTATATAGAGGGGATTGGGAATGAGGATATGATTGAGTCCATTGCTTTGATGAACCCTTTTTACTCTGATTGAGAGATTGATGTCTTGTTCTCTTTTCTTTCCTTTCTATTCTGTTCTATTTTTCTTTATTCTTGTTGTGCTTTATTTGACGTCTAGGAGACTTTAAATCCTCTAAAGGTGTAATTCCTTTGGTGTTAGTCGTGCCCGAACAACATTTGATGGTCTGGTATAGCCACCTAACTATGTTTGTGGTGAGTTCTTAGGAGACCAACTGAGACGGTAGAAATTAGAGTTCAAACAGCAAAGCCTAGAATGCAAAGGTTTGAAATTTCCGAGACTAAAATCTGGTTTAAATACCCAATGGTGTAGAGATTGCTTCAAAACCACCCCAGCTTGAACTTTGTATGGCAGCCCCATCGGTTGAGTTAGCTTTATGCGCCTTGATTCTAGATACCAAATCAACCTAGTCTGTCACCTTGTTAGAGAATAGGAAAAGTTACAAACATTGTTAGGGAGAAAAATAGTACCCGTGGTTTTCGCATGAAGATTATACATTTGTTGAACATTTAGATATTTTCGGAATGCTATTTTTATTTCAAATGTACGATGAAGGTAGAATTGGTTTGAAAAATTTTTGGATTGCAATTGGGGTTTTAAAAAAAAAAACAAATCCCGCACGTGCGGCACAACCCATCGCATGTGCGGCAAAAACTCCAATCCACAAATTTGTTACTGCTTTAAATGCGGGTGCGCGAGGTGGTGCGGCACAGTCGCCGCATGTACTGCCTGGGTCTTGCATGTGCGGGAAATTTTCTGAAACAATTGCACCACCTGCTTTATATGCAGGTGCGGCGACGTGGTGCAGGTGTGCTTCCGCACATGCAGCATGCACTCTTGCACGTGCAGCAGGACGTCGATATTAAAAAAAAAAATTTCAGATTTCTTTATTATTATTTTTATTTTATCCATTTTATTTATCAACAAAAAAAAAGATTTCTTTGTTATAGATTTTCTCTCTCTCTCTCTCTCTACCTCTACCTCTACCTCTCATCTTCTTCCCTCTCTATCTTCCTCTCTCTCTCTCTCTCTCTCTCTCTCTCTCTCTACACTCCATAACCCCACAAACCCATCACACCCCACCATCACAAACCCTTCAACTCTTAACATTCCCTCCTTCTTCCTCACCACCACCTCACCACCGGCAGCCCTTTTCTCTCCATCCGGCAAATCTCCGACGACCACCATTTTTTCTGGCGAATCTCCATTCTTTCTTTCTCTTCACCAACTCAAGGTGCATCCTCCTTTTTGTTTAAACTTTGTATTTCTTCTTTCAATCTTCTCTTGTAGTGAGGTTTAGGAATAGTTTAATAGAGATTCATTGTTCATCCTTAAAATAAAAAATAAAAATAAAAAAATTCTGGGTAGCCAAGAAAACGACCACTGCACATGCAGCCATCTCCGGCGCACGTGAGGCCCACCAAAAAAAGAAAAAAAAATACTAATGCTTAGCTTTTCTAATTCTTTTTATTTCATAGGTTGTTTATTTATTTATTTATTTATTTATTTAGTTTATTTATTCTATTATTTCATATTTTACTTGTTAGTTTAATTCATTACTTGTTAGTGTAGTTCATTTTTATTTGTTTAGTCATTAGCTATTTAAATAAAATGTTAATGTGTTTTATTATACCATAGTTGAGTAACTAGTTTAACTTACATGCATATGTCTAGTTTAGTTCTTTATTTATTTATTTATTTAATTTTATTTTAGGTTTCATTTATTACAAAAAAAAAGAGAAAAAAGAAAAAGAAAAAGAAAAATACTAAGAATTGCATGTGGTACATCAGTGGGCAGACTTGTGCTTTAATATCTTACTTTATTCTCATGCTAGTTCCAGGGGTATATGTGTATGTTTTTGGTGTGTGCAGGACATGAGTCGATGGATATCTACCCGGGCCTCCAAAAAGGCCAAAGATTCGTCCTCCTCGGTGCCACCGTCACCACCAGCCTTGCCACCACCACCGGTTGAGTTGCCACGACCAGAGCGGGCTTCAAGCCCACATCACAAGCTTACACAGTTCAACATCAACTATTTTTAGAATGACCCAGTCACCTCTTGGGCTGTTGAGCAGCTCCACCTCCAACAACTGTTGGGTGTTTGCACTGTGACAGTGCCCACTTATCCTCATTTGGTACGGCTCTTCTACCAAAACATGTACGAGTTGCTCACTAGTGTAGGACTTCTGTCCATTATTGATGCCCACATTGTCAGCATCACAGAATCCATGATTGCCCAAGTGTTAGGGTTCTTTTCCAAGTCGTACCACCAGCTCTTGCCGGAAGTTAAGGGTCGACAACCCATACACCACCTTATCCAAAAGCACTTCCTAAGGACCTATGGTGACGCATGTTACACGTGTTTGAGGCCAGAGCAAGCTACCTGGCCGCTTATTATTCATTGGCTTAGTGATACATAAGAATGCCCTTTCACTTGGGCATAAAGCTGAGCGTCGAATGGAGATTGTTCGGGTCCTACACGGTTATCAACATGGTTATCAGGTATTGCTTGAGCACGTGATCTAGATGCATATGCACAAATTTCTACAGGAGGCCATTCAACCTTAACCTATGCAGAACCTGACTTAGCCCCTGCCATTTGCCAACTTGCTCACACTTCTTTTCGAGCTGAATGGCCTCCCAATTGATACGACTGAGGAGATCGACACTGCTTATCCGAATTTCGAGCAGCGAGAATGACAGCATAGCTTATCCTACATCCCGTAACAAGTTGGTGCCTGTAGACTCGACTTTCGTCGCGCCCCCTTTCGGAGAGCTCGAATTGCTCCTACAGTTCGGACTCATGTCACGGTTCTAAATCTAATCTCATAAAGTGCAATGTGAGACTGATAAACAGCAAAGAGTCCAATCCGGAAAATCATTTTGGAAAATTGATTTTGAATCAAATAATACCAAAACTGGACTGCTTTTCCAGATTACGGAGTCGCCACCTAAATATTTTGTTTTGAGAAATTTAGGAAACTCTGACTCGTGCCAAAGGCCACGTGTCCGTCATCACCAAAGTTGCCTCGGCTCGAGAAGTTGGGTACGAGAGGGGAAGGTCCTGAAATGAGCACCCCCGCTTGCCCGATCAAAGATCGGCCTCTACTATCATGATATGTTGTTTTATAAACACATGTGTTCTTATTCCAATTGTTAGCCAACTTTACTATGTGACGCACACAAGTAAGTATAGACTAAGTCGCAAGACTTGGAACGAATTCAACTCATGTTTGCTTTCGAAAATAGTTTGAATTTGCCACTCTCAAGTGGGCTAAAGCGCGGATTTGCCATCAAACATAATGGGCTTTAAAACATGATTTGCCACTTCGCAAAGTGGGCTTAAAACACACATTCGTTGAATTGTTCCAATTCAAACAACAAAGCTTTCATCCACAGGCATTCATTCAGTTTAGTATATAAGCAAATAGCCTCATGGCAAGCATGCGAAACATGGCATCACTCACACTCATGTAAGTATACTAAAGCGTAAAACTTACCGAGTACTCCAAGCCAAAACAAAAGCTAGTTAGAAACAATGCATGATCCTAAGTATACAAAATGCCTAATGCAACACATGCAATGATGCAATTAATAGGCTTGGCTACTAATATGGCATATGATACAATTTGATAACATGCTTTGAAACACGTATCAAAAAAGTATTGAATTAAAAATGACGATCCAGTTTGAATGATGCGCTGAGCCTTGGTGTATGCAATACAAATGAATGATGCAAACATGCAAGCATAAGGCATGCTAATTGAAAATGCTCCTAATCTAACCATTGAAAGCGGTTAAATAAAAAGGAGAAAGACGTGGGGTTAGAAGACATGCACACACGCATGCACACTTATTACAACATTGTGCCCTCACGATGGAGGGTCCGAATGAATAAGTCAAGCTATACTAAGCTAAGCTAATTATTACAAAACGAAACTAATTAACTATTCTAGTTAACTAATTATTACAACACAATTGAATAATTAGCTATGTTAAGCTAATTAAATACAACACTTGAATCGAATAATTAGCTACACTAACTAACTAAAGCAATTTAAACAAAGCAAGTAAATGGCCTCGAAGATGAGGGAGACATGTATGCTCGGTTGGCTTCCTCTAAAAAATCCATCGGCTGCCTCTGTTTGCACTTGCCTTGATCTCTGGACACTGTACCAACTTCCAGATTGCCTCTACTCCAACACAGGAACACATTTGCACAAAAATTGACTGGTGGCCGGTTGGCCACAAAAAGTGGCTGTCGGTCATCTTAACTGGCCGGTCGGCTAGTCTAAGTGGCCGATCGACCACCCCTTTTCTGGACTTCTATTTTTGCTGCAACAGAGAGCAACAGAGGCAAAGCAATGCATTTTTCAAGAAATGTAAGTATTGCCACCCTCCTTATCATTTCTCAAGCTCAAAGGAGTATGACACTTGGCTCTCAAGCCACCAATCAAGTATTTTCAATGCATGATGGCCAAAGAGTCAAGCTTGTATAAGCTTAATGAATGCACAAATAAGACTCAAAAGACCACCACTCTATCATGCATGATCAAGGGTGACGGTGACTAAGAAAAGTGGCACGTTTTATCACTTTGAGTATGAAACGTCCCATTTTTCTTGTGTTTGGATTAACGTCCGATCCAAACACATGCAATGCAATACAACATGCTTAACTTGCTCAAGTTTTACTTGGTTCATTTTGTTTACACATTTTACATTACCAAATCATTTTTTAACCGGTTAAGTCCAAGGTGATTGTCCTCTAATGAGAGAAGGGTCAACCAAAGGATGACTTAAGACATGAGAGAGATCATGTCGTTAGTTAGTAGAAACCCTCAAAAGAGGATTAAAACTATTAAGCACAAGTCTCAATCTCAAGCTTAAACAGAACCTTAAGGCTAACCAACCTCAAAGAAAATGGAAAAGTGAAGAAATAAGGGAGGTGACAGGTATTTCAGTGCTGAAATGGCATGCAAAATGACACTAAATCATGCAAGCAACACATGCATAACATGTTTAAGAGCCTAACTCATTAAGCTAGTGAAGATCATAACACCATAGGCATGCAATACAAAGCTCAATTAACTAAACCAACTTTGGACAGAGCTAAAATATGCCAAAACAGTGGCTAAAACATGCTGAGATTGAGGTATAAAGTGCTTAAAAAACATGCTCACATGCTAGCTTGCAAACAAGACTCAAGACACAACTCTCAAAAGCAATAAAAGAGCGAAATAAATGATCATGTGACAGAGCTATATACACTGAAATTACATGCTAAATGACACTACAACATGTAATCATTTCAAGCAAAACATGTTTAGGGGCCTAAAACACTAAAATAGTGAAGGCATTTGCACTACAACTATGTAAAACATGGTTCATATAATCAAAGCAGCCCAAAATAGAGCTAAATCATGCCAAATCAGAGCCTAAAACATGCCTGGATTAAGCTAGGTTAAGCCATAAAAACATGCTACCATAGGATGCTAACTAGGCATGCAAGTGAGACACAAGGAGGAGAGGCAACCCCCTCCATTTTTGGACTTCAAAACATACTTTTTACCACTAAAATAACTCTGAATTTTAGTGGTTTAAAGGGCCAAAAGGTTTGGCTTGAATATGCTAAAAGATGATGCAAGAAGCTTCACAATTAGGCAACAAGAATGGTGGGCTACCCCTTTGCACAAAATGACCTCAAACCAACATGGTAAGGCACAAAAATCAGAGTTTTTTGTAGTTGAAAACCAGGCCAAAAATAGTGTAAAAAATGGCAATTCAATTGACTAAAACAAACCCTACAAGGTAAGTCTTTACCTCTTGAAGCACAACACAAAATAAGTCACAATTCTGAGCTTAAACCACCCTTAGGAGCTCAAACTAAGCTCAAAGAACCTCAGCTTTAAGATGAAGATGTTTGGTTGTTAAGGGTCTTAGTGCAAAAGTGTAGAGAATTCTCACTTTCAAGCACAAAATAGGGAGAGAGAGAGAGAGAGAATTCTAGAGAGAGAGAGAGGAAATTTGCTTACAAATTATCTAACCTCTTCAAATGGAGGAGAGACCCCCCATTATATAGAAATCCAAGCCAAAGACTTGCATTCATCCCTCCATACACGTGTATGGAGATGGCATTCAGTGAACAACAGCTGGCACAGCTGGCTAAGAAAATATCTAAAAAATGAGAAAAATGGCTGTTGGCCACTTTAGGTGGCCGGCCGGCCACCTCACCTAGCCGACCGACCACTTTAAGTGGCCGACAAGGCCCTTCCCCCCTCCAGGCAAGAGGCAGCAAGGTTTGGCCCAAAAACAAGCACAAAACAAAAAGGGTTTAGAGGCTCAAAGACAAGGCATTCCACCGAGAACTTCAGGCACTCAAAACAAGCACGAACAAGCACAATCATCGAGTGTACAAATGATGACGTCTAAGTCTTGAGGTCAGTCCAAAATGGGGTGTCTATAGTTGCCCTCTTTGACAGAACTCAGAAGTCATGAAATGACGGGAGTGAATGTCAAAACCTAAAGACGACCCATTTTTGACAAGGCCGAAGACTCAGAAAAACAAGCAAACAAAACAAAGAACGATTGCGCCCGCAGGCTGCCTACATATCCCTTTGAAAGGAATTAAACCAGCGTAGTTCTGGGGCAAGATGCAAATGATATGCACAATACAGAACATAACTTATGATGATGCAATGAGGGCTGTAATGAAACATCTAGATGCAAATGTTATGCAAAGAAACGCTATAGCAAACTCGTACATAAGCGAGTAAACATGAACCAAACCACATTTCATGCAGAAAGGATGTAAGAAAATTATGCAAGCTTAACTACGCATCATGAGAGAAAGGTAAAGAACCACAACCGTCGGACACACCCGAGACGGCAAACAAGATCCCAACACGTGGCACACGCGAGGAGTGAGATGGTGTGAACCTAGGAACACATCCTAAGGCTTCGAATCACAGAAAACAGTGATAACAGGCGAAACACATCCAACCATTATGCAACCAAAACAAAGAGCAGTATAAGCATTGGAATCTGTCCAGATGCATTTAACCAAAGCGTCCTAACGCGCCACGCGCGAGAGGGAAAAGAGAGCGGTGCAAACACCAGAGGGTGGTATAAACATCAAAGCACGTTCCAATGTTTCTAACCAAAATAGAGTGGTATAAGTGTTGAAACACGTTCCAAACGCTTCTAGCCAGAATGGTGGTATAAACATCGGGCACACAACCCAATGTTTCTAACCAAAACAAAGTGGTATAAGTGTCGAAACACATTCCAAACGCTCCTAACCAGAAGGGTAGTATAAACATCGGGCACACAACGCAATGTTTCTAACCAAAGCAAGAGATAAACATCGAGCACACGACCCAATGCTTCTAACCAAAGAGGGGAGTAGTATAAACACCAGGCATACCCGAGTGTTTCTAACAAAAAACAAGGTACAAACGTCGGGCACACGACCCAATGCTTCTAACCAAAACAAGGTATAAACATTGGGCACACAACCTAAGTGTTTCTAACCAAAACAAGGAGTGGTATAAACATCAAGCACACAACCCAATGCTTCTAACCAAAACAAGGTATAAACATCGGGCACAAAACCCAAGTGTTTCTAACCAAAACAAGGAGTAGTATAAACATTAGGCACACAACCCAACGCTTCTAACCAACACAAGGTATAAACATCGGGCACATAACCCAAGTGTTTCTAACCAAAACAAATGAGTGATGTAAACACCGGGCATACCCTAGTGTTTCTAACCAAAAGGGGGCTCTAAGGACAGGAATGATCTTACTTGAAGTTCTTCTGAATAAACCGAACATATAATATCGTCTAGTTGCACCAGCTTTGAATGAACCGCACATACAATATCGTCTGGTTGCACCAACTTTGAATAAACCGTACATATAATATCGTGCCTGCATAAGAAAGAAACTTTGACAGGTACAATACAATAAGAATGCATATTCTATGCAAGACGAATAACCACGACACAACGCTCAGAGGCATTCTTCCTGCACATCATGCGAGGAAGAAAACAGAAGCATATTCTATGCAACGAAACATGGAGCATGTTCTATGCAACACCAAATGCATGTTCAATGCAACAGGTACGGACATTTTCTATGCGAATGTAAGGGCATGTACAATGCAATACAATGTAACATGCATATTCTTTGCAAACATGAGAACATGTGTAGTGCAATGCAACACAACATACATATTCTGTGCACAACAACAATGCGTATTCAATGCAACATCAATAGCATGTTAAATGCAAAACACTGAATAAAGAAATGCGCGTCTTAACAAGGCCAATTCAGTTGCAACCTCAGATTTACCTCTCGGAGGAATTACAATGTATTTCAAAAGGATACACCTCGTTCATGCCGGCTGACAATGAGTCATGCATCGAAGACATGAGTTGAAACTTCCACAGAGACACTTGGAGTTAAAAAGTGAACTTTTCTTGCACTTTCTTGAGAGACAAGGACACAAAATAGCATAGAAACACACAGGGAGAACACTGAACACCTGCCGGCCACCCTGAAGCTATGTCGGCAACCTGAAAATTCTGTCGGCCACCTAAGTGGCCGGTCAGCCACAAAAACTGGCCAGTCGACCAGTTGTGATAATTCTGGGCTATTTCGGTCTTTTTGCATGGAGATCTTTAAAAACACATTCCCAAATCACATTTCTTCACACCTACAGTGCCGAAATTCTCTCCTCTTCATCCCTAGACACTTTTTCCTCCTAGATTCGTGCTTTACACTCGTTTTCCAAAGCCCCTCGCGAAGTTGATTCGCTAAAACCTTTCGGTTTCCTCTATTTTAAACCAATTGAAATTTGTTTTCGGAGCTTTTTTCTCCATTTTCACCACTTGAGGTTGTTTCCTTCAAGTTTATCTCGAGTTTGGCGCTTTTTCCCGAGCTTTGACTTTTTCTCCCATTTTCTCTCTCCGAGAGTTGACTTTCGTTGACTTTTGGCACTTTTCACCTATTTTGCTCATCGTCACCTGCTTTCTCACCTTCTTTCCAGATGGCAGACAACGTTTCACATGACGGGGGTTCTCCTGGGATGGAGGGAGAGCCTGAGTCCATACCATTGCCGCCTAGAGTGCGACTTTTCAATCCGGAGAGGTACCGACAATCCGTCACTTCAGCGGATTTGCATGACACACACCAGCAAATCTCCTGCTGTGAGAGCCAAAGTCTCACTTGTCCCAAGGTGCCTCCGAGGTATGTACTACATTCTTACATTTCTGCAATGTACTTTACATTTCTTGTATAGCTCACACTTTTGCACTGTATTTCATCTGCTCATTCTGAACACATTCACACACTGTATTTCTACTCATTCTGAACATAGGTAAACTCCTGTTTTACCCGCGGATATGGGTCCACCACAAGGAGAGAGTGGTATATGGACCTCCCCGACGGCGTTCGCCAGATCATCGATGAGGCGGGGTTCGGTTTGTTCTGCATGGGGCTGTCGCATCTCATGGTGAGCAAGACTCTCTTGGGCACACTAGTAGAAAGATGGTGGGATACCACTAACTCCTTCCATTTGTCTTCCACCGGGGATATGACGATGACCCCATATAATTTTGCCATGTTAACGGGCCTTAAGGTGGGAGGCCAGCCGATCCCATACGACTCCAATATGGGTGAGTGGGAGGCTGCTAGACTTATCTGCTGGGAGCCCCCCCGCCTATCTTCTGATTAGGGATGGTCCGATACTCCTGGTTCGCAGACCACTTCAGAGGGACAGACCCAGCGACTGTAGAGGGGACCGAGCAGTATGCCCGAGGTTTCCTGATGTTCCTCTTCGACACTACCTTGTTCGCCGACAAGGCGACCACAGTCGGGCTATATCTTTTGAGCGCCTTAGTGGACCTATCTCAGGTTCAGCATTATGATTAGGGTGGCGCCGGCCTCGCTACCCTATACTGCTACATGAGCTCAACCTCCTGCAGGAGCAGGAATAGAGTTGGCAGCTATTGGAGAGCCTGGGAGGTATGCTTTACATTTTCTGCTGTGCTTTCTGCTTTGCACTTTCTGTACACTGCACACACCGCACACTGCACACTACACACACATAGTCTAATCTCTGTATTTGTACTTTCTATACATTGCACTACACACTTCGCTTTCTGCATTTTCTGTGTTCTGTATTCTTTGCATTCTGCATTTTCTGGACATTGCACACATACTCTGCTTTCCACATTATCTGTGTTTATCTGTATTCTCACTACTACTATCTTGCTTCGTACAGCTATGGGTGTACACATATTTCCCAGCGCTTGCTCCCGAGCCGGAGGTTGAGACACCTCTTGAGGTGCCATACTCGCATCGATACGACGGTCGGTGCTAGCCGAGGACCCGGGAGACCCTCTTATTCCTTCGCCAGTAGTTCGACACAATGAGGGCGATAGAGGTAATTCGAAACTCACAGTTCTTTCTGTTTTCAGCATCAATTCATTTTACATATCTAATGGCAACTCATCAATCTATGCATTTGCTGTCTTCAAATCGCATGGCAGCCCTGAGTGATGATGCCAAAGGGTGTCAGGTTTTAGTTTGCCGGAGCTTGGGGCGCTTCCCGATATCGACTCCTGCTTGAGGGGCCAGTAGGCCGAGTCTGGTTTCTAGGCGAGCGCTTCATGCGCTAGGCGCTGGGTCTACCATTACAGTCGATTCCCTTACTATCTCCACCTTCCATGCGAGCCACAGAGAGTCTCTCCCCTCAGGATATCATTGACTTCATGTGGGGTGAAGATGCAGACCTCTTCATTGGGGAGGGGGACTATACGACTTATCTCTAGACGTACCTCATGCCTCCGTTGATAGGTGTTCATGCTCACACGAGGAGGGCACCTGATATTCCTCCGTCGAGCAAGGCTCGAGCAACAGATGCCCCTTCGACAAGCAAGGCCCAAGCACCGAGGGGTAGGGCTCGAGGGATACCCCATGTTAGGCAGAGTTTTGGATGGCCAAATCTTCCGACTGAGCTGACAGGTTGGCGGTACTCCGGAGTACCTTATCAGATCCCGATTGAGCCTCCGTTGCCTAGTCACAGATATGTCAGGACACCCAATTCACCATCGGTATGCATTACAGCTTTTATTTATCGCTCAAATACTCAAACATTCATTCATTCACTGATCATTTCAACTTGTATTTGCAGTCCTCCATCGGGTATGTCGAGGGGTTCCTCGAGGTGTTGGCCTCATTCGAGGGCATGATCTTGAGGAGGGAGATGATGCTTGGCTCCCACGGCATTTAGGTAATTTTCAGTTTTCTTGCATTTCAGTTATCATATTTTTGCTGATATACTGAAACTGACATCTCAACTGAACATTTCCCCACACCACACTTATACACTGCATGTATAGATCACACCTGACACATTACATTCACATACTGTATTTGACTTCTGCATGTACTCATTTTGCACACCATACTTGCATCTGATACACATACTATGGCTGATATATTCAAACTGCCATTTCAGGTCACACATCTACAGACAGGACCATCAGAGCCTTCCCCAGCAACAGGGAGACGTCGGGAGCCTATCATACGCGATGACGATGATGAGACCAGTGAGGACGAGAAGCCAACAAGTCCCCAGTTTTTGTACATTGTCTTGACAATTGCTTAGTCAAGTAATGAACCAACCAAAACATAACAAACAGAGTAAAACAACTCAAAGAACAACTAACTCGATAAACAAAACAACTACTCAATAAACGAAACAAATACAACTCGATAAGCAAATTACAACAACTCGGTAAACAAATTGAAACAAACTTGAGAGCGACTCAACAAAACTACTAAAACAAAATAGCAGAACGCATCCAGAGTAGAACAAAACACAGGTTCTCAGCATTGTCAACACATAGGAAGGCCAAAGACATTCTGCTGAAGACAAACAGTGGCTGTCGGCCACTTAGTGATGATTATCGGCCACTAAGGTGGCCAGTCAGCTACCTTAACTGGTCGGTCAGCCAGTAATGCAGGGAGTCTCCAGGTTGTTGCCACCTGGCTTCCACTCAGTGCCTTATCTTCTACAAAAGTTAGGACTACGTAGTTTCTTCATTCCAGCTCTGTTTTTGCTTCAAATGGAACCATTCTTCACCGAAAAACTCTCCGATTGGATTGCGAATTTAGATGGCTCAGAAAAGCTGAATTTTTGAGATTTCGGGATAAATGCACTATTCCTGCTAAGTCATACTCCACTATGTTTTCCGTTCCTTCATGTCGCGGTTAGATGTTGGAACCCGGTTACGCATGTTTTTAGCTTTAGGGGACAAGAGATATGACCAATAATCGAAGAGTTTCAAGTTTTGATGGAATCCCGGAGTGACGAGGAAATCTTGCCCCAGTCACATTTTGGCCATATCCAAGCTTTAGAACGGATGTGTGGGCTCACTTTACACGATGCCCGATCTTTGGTTCGCAACGGGGAGTTGGACATTCCCAATCTCATTCACCAAATTTTCTGATACCGGTAACCGCAGTGACCGTCTTTGGCAAAGTTTTCGGCAGCATGCCCTCTGCTTATGCATGTTGGCTCATTTTCTGCTTGTCCCTGGCTTCGGAGGGTCTAGCATTCACTTGATCGAAGTTGCCCAAGGCTTGAAGGAGGGCAAGAGCTGCATCGGCTTGACACTAGCCGAGATTTTAATGGGTTTGGATGCTTTCCATCGCCAGGAGACAACCAAGTTCGCAGGAAGTCCACTACTCTTATAGGTTATGTTTCTCATCCTTCTCACATGTGTTTCTCACATCACTTGGCCCTCATGCTCTGTTTTTCTCTTAAAACCCTTTTCTCAGTTTTCTCTCTACGTACACCTCTACATTCTTTATTCTCTCTTATTTTTCATCCCTCCCCAAATATGGCTCTTGGATAGGTTGAAAGTAGTGGACTCTTACCCAGCATATTCAACACGCGGCTATTTCTTTCGCCCACGGCTAGTTGGTTTCCCAAACAAGGGGTAGTGGTGCCACTGGATGTGCAATAGGTCTGCTGTTGACATTGTTTGGCATTGCCCCTGGTTTGATCTGCCTGAGATGAGCTACAGCATGTCCCGATAGCTTGGCATTCAGTTGATTGGCTTGACACACTGTGTCTTCCATTTTCCCTTCCGGTTCCGGCGCCAGTTCGGACACGACCAGACTTGTCCAAAAGAGGGGGTAGAGTACCAGACTTCATTTCCAATCTGAGGTACACAGCTAGCTCGATATCCCACCTCATGGAGAACAAGAGAACTTCTGGCTTCCCTCCCCAATTTCAGTTGTGCTCTTTCTGGCGAATGCATAGCTTGGCTTGAAAATGAGGCGCAAACCGAGCCTTCTTTAGCATCTGAAGCTTCCACAAGCTCTGGGAGGGGATGAAAGAACACCTGACTCAACTATGCCCCGAGTTTATTGCTTTGATCTGTACTTTCAAGTTTTCCTTTGAATGTAATAAAAAAAAACTTCGATTTATATCAAGAGTCAGAGAACTCTGTATTGAAATCAATGAAATTGAAGGTTGTGGGTACTGAAAGTTTTCCGTTTGGTCCAAAAATGATCTAAGTTGTAAAATGATTAATTTGAGCAAAATCAACTTTTATTAAAACTTTTCAAAACCATTTTCGATAAGGATCACAACTGGACACACCCAAAATCTATCCTTGAGATGTACAACCCTGAATCCAATAACTAGAAAGTTGCCCCTTGTCTGAATAGCACTGCACTGCACTGCACTGGAGATTACAACCGAACTCTTGAATGTAGAAAAGACAAAGATGACCAGAACAATCTCATGGACACAACTGATTTAGAAGTGTTTATGGCTGGACTTCAGAATGAAGTTGCCTACGTATCCCAAAGATGGGAATCAAGCCTTACGTAGTTCAGTTCAAGTTCACTCGGGTATTAACACTCCTTTTGCACTCTAACTTTTGTCAAGGCCACCTTTTTTGGATTTTTAACCTTGCGAGCTCAGTTTTTCTTATTTCAAATTTTTTGTGCTCTAATTTTTGCCTAGGTCGCCCTTTCAGGTTTTCGGCCTAGCAAGCCTCTTAAGGATAGTATTTCTTTAACTTGTCCATGTTGATTGGTTGGGAGAACTCGAGGCCATCTAAGCCCATAAGAATGACAGCTCCACCCGACCAAATAGATTTGATGATGTAAGGACCAGTCCAATTGGGTTTGAACTTGCCCATAGGGTCATGGATGGGAACTCGGTTGTCTTTGAGCACCAGATCCCCTTTTTTCAGATTCCTGGACTTAACTTTCTTGTTGAAAGCCCTGGCAATCCTTCGTTGATAACCTTGGACGTGGTACAGTTCTTTCAGCCTCCTCTCATCGAACAACATTAGTTCTTCAAACTTACTCTGTTGCCAATCTGCTTCTACTATCTGGCACTCAGCCATAACTCGTAGCGACAGAGCTTCAACTTTAATCGGAAAAATAACCTCCATCCCATAAACTAGAGAATACAGAGTTGCCCCAGTAGATGTTCGAATTGATGTCCTGTAGCCCCAAAGAGCAAATGGCAACTTATCTGGCTAGTCCCTATAGGTTTCCACCATTTTCTGTAGAATGTGCTTGATGTTCTTGTTGGCGGCCTCAACAGCTCCGTTGGTATACGGCCGATATGTGGATGGCTTATGAAAAGTTACGTTGTATTTCTCCAATAAGTCAATCACTTTTTTCTTGAAGTGGAAACCAATGTCCGAAATGATCTCATTCAGGACCCCATAGCGACAGATGATATTATTCCTGATGAACTTGGCTACATACGATGCTTTCAGCACCGCGTAGGATTGGGCCTCGACCCATTTTGTAAAATAGTCTATTGCCACCAAGATATACTCATGCCCGTTTGACCCCTTCGGAGTAACAGCCCCAATAACATCAATTCCCCAGACTGAAAATAGCCACGGCGAAGTCATGTTGTACAGCTTCGACAGCAGGATATTCATGCGATTTGCATGGATCTGGCATTTGTGGCATCACTGAAAAAACCAATACAATCCTCCTCCATGGTTGACCAATAGTAACCCTCTTTGAGAATTTTCCGAGCTAGCATTACCCCGCTCATGTGCGCTCCGCACTCTCCTCTGTAGATGGCCTCCATTAGGCGCTTTGACTCTTCTTCACCAACACATCGTTCATGCATTCCCAGATGACCCCATTTGTACAATTTAACCCCACAGATGATAAACTGAGCAGCCATTCGCCTTATTGCCCTTTTATCTTTGGCATTTGCCCCTAGTGGATAAGCCTTATTTTCCAAGAAGTTCCAAATGTCATGGTACCAGGGGTTTTGATCTTGTACTTCATCTATTGCAGCGATCAACTCGTAGGCCAGCACATACCTCTGTTCAATAATGATCAGATGCATCCGGACTCCCAAAGGGATGTCTATCATGGAAGATAGAGTTAATAAAGCGTTTGTGAACCTATTGCTCTCTCTTAACAAATGCGTGAAGGTTAGCTTTTCAAACCTAGGAATCAGAACGTCCAACGTTTGGTGATGGGTTTTCATCCTTTCTTCTTTAACCTTCTAGTCTCCTTTCGCTTGAGACATAACCAAGTTCGAGTCCCCCATGACATCCAACCGTTTTGCCCCTATTTCCAAGGCGGCTTCTAAGCCAGTGATACATACCTCGTATTCTACTTCGTTGTTTGATACCTTGAACCAAAGTTTGAAAGCTAAAGGTATATGGGAATTGTCGGGCACTATCAGCAACACTCCTATCCCATACCCATACTGATTAGATGCTCCGTCAAAGTACATGGTCCAAATCTCTTCTTCGACCTGCAGAATGGCCTCATCTAGAAACAAATACTCTACTGCTTCGTCTCCCTCCACTGCGTGATCAGCTAGGAACTCCGCTACCGCTCTCCCCTTCACAGACTTGCGCGTCACATATTTCAAGTCGAATTCGGAGAGAAGAAACAACCAACAGGCTAGCCTACTCGTAAGTGCTGGTTTCTCGAAGAGATATTTGATGGGATCTAATATCGAAACCAGAATTACGGAGTGAGCTAACAGGTAGTGCCTTAACTTCTTGGTAGCTTATACCAAGGCTAAACAAGCCTTCTCAAGCGGAGTGTAACGGGTCTCATATTCCAGCATCTTCTTGCTTAGGTAATATATGGCATTCTCCACTATATCCTTAGATTCCTTTGCAAGCATGCAACCCATTGTCGTGTCGGTTACTGACAGATAAAAAATCAACGGCTTCCTCGGCTCTTGCGGTGACAACACGGGTGGGTTCTGTAGATAC